GCTCACTGTTGGTTTTCAGAAAACTGAAAAGTTGTGATGGCTGACAAGACAGCCTCTCCAATCTTGAATTCACCCACCAAACCAACACATATTGAAAGCTTACAGCGCACATGGCAATCTTGTGTCCAGGGCACAGCCCTGAAGAAGAGGGACGTGCTTCCTCCTGGGGAGACACAATAAACTGCCCTTCCAATTATTTAGTTACAGCTTTGATAAACACCATGCAGGAGGAGGACCAAAGTGAACATCTCAGGGCACCAGACCTCATCTACGAGGTGAGAGAGGGCTTCGTGGATGTAGGAGTGCTTGAGCTGGGATGGGAAGGATAGAAAGGTTATCTAGTGATGAGCAAACCTTAAGTGCTGGCATAAAGGCAGGGGCAGAAGGCGACATTTCAAAATTTGTAGATTATCTAGTGATGAGTATTTGCAAAGACTTGTAAGTAGAGAAAAGATCAAGTGTAAAGGCCCGGGGGCAGAAAGGAGCATAGGGTCATATTCATGGAACTTCCTGAGACTCAAGAAGCTGGGAAGAGAGAAGCAACAGGGTAAGAATGCAAGCAGACAGACAGGTGGTGGCTGACAGGATCCAGAGCACCATGGACCTTACAGCCACGCAAGTGAAACTAGAAAACAAATGAAGGGTTTCAGGAGGCTTCAGATTGACATTTCTGTTTTTCTTTGTAAGTTTGAGAGAGAAAAAGAGGACGCATATGCACAAGCAGAGGAGGGGCAGGCAGAGAGGGAGAGAGAATCCCTGGCAGGCTCCTCGCTTGTCAGCACAGAGCCTGACACGGGGCTCAAGCTCACAAACTGTGAGATCATGACCTCAGCTGAAATCAAGAGTCGGACACTTAACCAACTAAGTCACCCAGGCGCCCCTCAACCTGACATTTCTAAGAGATTATTCCCGGTGCTAGGTAATTGCATGAGAGCAAGAAAATACGTAGTGGGAGCAGTTGTGGTATAGGCAAGAGGTGGTGGTGGCTGAGATCAAGACTGATTTTGTTTCCAAGGTGACATCTGGCAGTGTCTGGAGACACCTGTGATCATCCCAACCTGAGCAGTGCTACGGACATCCAGCAGATAGAGCCAGGGATGCCGTTAAAGATCCTATAAAACAAGGAACACTGTTCCCCTCCCCCCCCCCCAACACACATACAATGAAGGATTATCTAGCCCAAAATGTTAATAGCTGGAGTTGGAAAACCGGTGGTTTGAACCAGGGATATCACTGGATGGGGAGGCAGAGCAGTAAATAGATTCCAAAAGTATTTTGGAGGGGCACCTCGATGGCTCATTGGGTTAAGCGTCCGACTTCGGCTCAGGTCACGATCTCACGGTTCGTGAGTTCCAGCCCCGCAATAGGCTCTGTATTGACAGCTCAGAGCCTGGAGCCTGTTTCGGATTCTGTGTCTCCCTCTCTCTCTGCCCCTCTCAAAAATAAACATTTAAAAATTTTTTAAAAAGGGTTTTGGACGGAAAATCACTAAGACTTAATGACGGACTGGATACAGAAATAAAAGTGCAAAGGTACCAAGGAGGAGTTCCCGGGTTTTCAGTAATTTTCAAGAAAATTTATGCTCAGAACTTTCCCTTGCTTGGAAAGCCAGAGAAGTCTATGAAATGCTTTTTCTCTTAGAATCAGGTAGGTCAGTCAGGGTGGAAAAACTGAGGCTGGCAGCAAAACTCTTGAACTTATTCAACCAAACCGTCATCACCATGTCTGTTGCGGCCCAGAAGCAGCTTCTTATTGGTTAAAGATGCCTGGTCAGGCCGTAGTTAACCACTGTGTAACTGCTGGGTAGGTCTGGGTTTTAGAACTTTACCCTGATCTTTTGTAAAAGGAGACTAATATGTGTTCATCTAGGTCTGTACTTGAACCCTAACTCTTCATCCAGAAGAGTAGCTAACCCAGCCTGACAAGCAGAGCAGCATCACCTGGGAGCTTGTGAGAACTACAGACTCTGAGGCCCCAAGCCAGCCCTAATTGATCAGTATCTTGAGGAGGTAAGATGCGGCAATCTGTTTTAACAAGCTATCTGGGTGATTTCGGATCACAGGGATGTTTGAGAAGCAAGCCCTAGTACCCATTTTAGAGCAGGAGAAACAACGTCTATGTAGGTCCAGCACAGACAAATCCTCAACACTCAGCGAGCGTCCAAAACCCAAAGGTTAAGGTAATTTTTAAAATGCCAGATCATTTTATGGAACAAGGTCTAGGTCTTGAAGGGCTGGTAGGGAAAATCTTCTAAGTGTTTCTTATCTACTTCAGCTTGGGACAGATAAACATTACGACTTATTAAAAAAAAAAAAAAAAAATCAAGTGTTGTGCATCAGAGTTTCCAAGCAATACAAATCCTTCTGCCTTTTGGAAGAGAATAAACAGTACCCAGCAGGAACAGAGAGTCGACCCAATGAAATAAACAAGTTCTTAAACAGCTCGCAGTGGGAGAGGTTTTTCTGGCTGATGCAGGAACAGCAAAAGCTTTTCAGCGAGGGCCACTGAGGGTTAACTTTGGGGCAAGAGGAGCAAGCTTCCCTGAGGCCTCAGTTGAGGCCAGCCAGGGTCTGAAGCCAGAGAGAGGAACTTGTGCAAACTGCAGGCCAGGCCATTCTTGGCTGTCCTTGAGGCTAGCGCTGGGGTGCATAGGAGTCCCAGGGCAGGCTCCAACTCCAGACCCGAACTTTCTCGGTAAGCTCAAAAAGCAACAACATCTTGTCCCTAAGCTTAATACCCTTGATTATCTTACTGGCTCACCCAGCACAGCTCCAAACACAACCACAGTTCAGATTCAAGTATCCTATTTTTGATTCTGAGAGAAGGTTTAACCAAACACTCCAGAAAGAAAACAGAAAGGCAAGAAGAAATAATAAACTAGCTTAACAATGAATGATGTATCAACTCCGGGGTAGTGAATGGCTTATTTATAAATAAGCATCACTTAAAACTACGCAGGAAGTTCGCATGACAGCATAAACAAGAGAAACTCAGGAACTCTTCTGCTGCAAACCCGGTGCCTGCTAGAGGACCAAGTCTTGCCCTCTGTTTTGGTGAGCAGGCTCACACCAGTCTTTTGTATGCCTGTGCGGTCCTGGGTGAGCCTCTCAGTTGTAAATATTTGCCCTTCGCCCAGAGCTGGCCAGCTGCTCAGACTGAGGCTGACAGGCCAGGGGGCCAGGATGGGGAGGGGAGGAGCGGGGAGAGGGAAAACTTGCAGGCCTGGTGTGTGCATAAAGAGGGGGTTGGGAGAGGGCAGAGAGAGGCGAAGCAGATGCAGGCCCCTGGGGCAAAAATGTTCTCCCACAGCCATATGGAACAGGCAACCACACAGTGGCACCACGCCCCTCCCCGTTTGCATAAAACGTGGCCTTTACAATCAGGAAAACCCTGGTTCTCAACAGGCGATTTTGCACGCGTCCAAACACACACCCCACCCCCAGAGAACACCTGATAATATTTGGAGACATTTTTAGTTGTCATGTCTTGGAGGCAGGAGTGCTACTAGTATCTAGTGGGTAGAGGCCAGGGAAGCTGCTAAACATTTTACAATGCAGAGGACGGCCTCCTCCAATAAAGAATGATGGGACTCAGTATGTCAATACATCCCAATGCTGATAACTCCGATGTAGAACCCGAATCCTCACTCTGTTCCCAGAGTCACAGTATGACTCTGGACAAGTTCTATGACCTCTCTGAACCTGCTTCTTCCACCTGAAAGGATTAAGTAGATAATGCCTGTAAAGTGCTTCCCACAGTTGCTAGAACATAATAAACACTCAAAAAATGGGCCTTGGGTTTACACTGAGAGGCAACACAATAGTGCTTATGACTCTGGGCTGGAAAGACAGGCACATGAGCATTCAGAAGGCAACTCTGGCACTAAAAGCTACGACCCAGGTACATGTCTGCCCCTCACAGGGGCTCAGTCTCTTCATCTACAAAATGGGAAGCATCCCAGCTGCCTCACTTGATTAAAAAGGAAACACCTGAGAAGTACTCAGCATAAGGCCTAGAGCAAAGCAAGCCTTCACTCAGGGTGACCGTTGTAATTACACCAACTATCAGCGCAAGGGGATGGCCCCAGGGGGATGTTAACACTTTGTTGAGCACACACTCTCCACCCAGCACAGGGCCAGGTCTTTGTAACTATTCTCTCCCAGTAGGCTGACAACCACCCATTTTACATTTAGGTAAACTGATGCATCTGGATGTTAAACCTCACAGTCACTCAGTTGGTGTGCAAAACGCCCAAGTTCTAAAATAGTTGCAATTTGAAAGAACTTCCTCTCAATTATTACTTTATGATTGGTGGCACCTTCTTTTTTTCTGGAATCCCCGCATGAACGCCACAGACGGGGCCTGGCTGTGTTTTACCCGTGTCACATCTCTAGGGACCAGTTTCTAACTTTAGAAAGGCTACACAGCTTGCTCAAGGTCAGCCAGCCAGTTGGCAGCAAAGCCCACGTCTGAATCCAGCTTTCACTCCAGGGGCCTGTCTTCTGGAATCCTTCTGAACTTATTCAGAACTGTGTATTTCATTTGCTCTTTCTGAAATTCCTAAGGATGCATGGATACAGTTTACCCTGTGTGTCGATATCTCATGCTTGGTGCCACAGGTATAGAGAACTAGGTTTTTCAACCTTAAGAAGTTAAGCAACTTCCCCAAGATCACCTAGCTGATCTGAGCAGCAAAACGTCTGACTTTGGAACTGCACTCATTCTTACTCCACGCTGTGGGGTCCTTTTAGTCTTTCCAGACCCCCGGAAGCTGCTGTAGCTACATTTCACCCTGTGTATGTGATCTGCAGGGACCATAGTTTCCAAGCTTAAACTGTTGCAGCGGCCCGCTCTTAGTGATACAGCGAGTAAGCAGTGGAAGGAGGCGGCAGGGATGCTCCTGGGAAGTTCCAGGCATCCCGGTGCCCAAAGGGACCAGGAGGGGCCCTGGGTACCCAGGGGAGCCCGGCAGGGGGTTGGGGCCGGTGGCGGGCGCCTACCTTGCCGCCGGGCGGCGCGGCCACGCAGCGGCTGAGCGAGTCGAGGCGCGCGCTGTACTCCGTGAACTTCTTTTGGTAGCGCAGTGCGGTCATCTGCAGCTCCAGCTGCGCCGCGGCCAGCTGCGCCACGAGCGACTTCTCGCGCTTGCCGGCGCGCAGCGCCTCCTTCTTGAGCGCCTTGTGCAGCGCGCCCAGGCGGGCCTGAAGCGCGCTGTTATGTGCCCGCAGGGCCCTGGCGCAGCAGTGGCCGCCCGCGCGCTGCTCGCCGTGCGTCAGGGGCAGCCCGCAGCCCTCCTGGCAGCGGCCCACCGGCCGCGCGTCGCACGCGTCGCGCATGTGCGCCTCCACGTCGCGCCGCAGCAGCACCTGGCCGCAGCCCGCGTGGCGGCAGCGCGCGGGCGCGAAGTCGCAGCGCTCGAGGTGCTCTGGCAGCTGCTGCAGCTTGACCACCCGGCCGCAGCCTCGCGCCGCGTGCGCGCACTTGATGTCCAGCTTGAGGATGAGGCGCTTGAGCGGCAGGACGTGGTTGAGCTCCTTGGCCGACAGGCGACCGCGGCAGCGCGCCGGGCAGCTGCCCTCCTGCACCACCCAGGGCAACACGCAGCCGGCGCAGAAGACGTGGCCGCACGGCGTGGTCAGCGGGTCCTCCAGGACCTTGTGGCACAGCGCGCACTTCAGGTCCGGGTCCACGTCGCCGTCGAAGCGGTCCAGCTCGAAGCCCATGGTGGCGGCCGGGGCCCGGGGTCGCCGCCGGGCGGCCGGCCGCCCCCTCCCTCCCTGCGAGGCAGCCCAGACGCGCCGGCTGCGCCTCCCGCTCGCTCGCTCGCTCTCCCCGGACTGAGCCTAATTGCTCCAGACTTCCTCGGAAAATGCCCGAGGAACAGGACTCCTCCAGCCGTATATGCGCGAGCGCGTGCGCACGTACATCCTGCCTCGGCTGTCTCCGGCCCGCCCCCTGCCACAAGGAGGAGGCAGAGGAGGATGGGGAGACCCCGAGAGAGGACTGGCCTGCCCAGGACGCCAGTCTGAGCCCTTCTCTCCGGCGACTCCTCTCTGCTCTCTTGCAGTTTTTGCTATAGGGTACCAACACAGGCCAAGAAAAGCTCACTGAGTTTGGAGCGGAGGCTGCTGTTGCCGCCCAGAGACTTCTCCTGGAGCCCCTTCCGGGACAGATCGTGACTTTTAACTCCCCTCCCCCGCGCTCTCTTTTCTTGGCTGATTGCAGAGAACGAAAAATATTTTGGGGTCAGCTATCTCAGCACTTACGGTCTTTATTTATTTCATTCCAGGGAAAGTTACTGAGCCTGCGGAACGCTCCAGCGACTGCAGTTCCGACCCGAGGTTCTGCGGAGCCCAGGATTTGGGCAGGCCAAGGATTCCAGGACCAGAGGGCGAATCTGCAGGGGGGAATCTGCGGGGAAGAGAGCTGCTCACAGGCTGTCGGGATGGGAGAGGGTAGAGTCCTGGCTCGGTCCATTTCACTTAACACCTCTCAAGTGTCCGCGCTTCTAAATCGGTCCCTTTAAAAATCATCAGTACGATGTTGTGAGAGAGTGTTAGCGCCATTTAAAAATTGTTTTACTGCCTGACAAGAGAAGTAACGCTGGTCCTACAAAGTGAAAAATCGCACAAGTATAAATCTGAGAGAAGTTCCCCATAACCCACCCTCACATCCCGTCATGTGAACTGTGTTCAGTTTTTTTTTTCCTTTGTTATACACAAATATTACTTTGTTACATTTCCATTTTCCACTTAGGGGACACTCAGGCTGGGAGAAGAAAAACAAAAAAGTGCTGTCAGATGTCCTACAGCAGTGTTTCTCAAATTTTAATGTGGAGGTGGAATCTGATCCCGATCCCGTAGGTCTGGGGCGGGGCCTGAGAATCTCCAAGTTAAAAGAGCTTCCAAAAAGAGGCTGATGCTTCCGGTGGCTGTACCTCCACCTGATTGGAAAGTGGCCATCCTTGAACCTGGACTTTTTTCCTTCTACTCAGGGTCAGTTTTTCAAGCAGTGTCGTGACACTTGTAGTTTTCAGCAATACTCCAGTGTGTTGAAGGAATACGTTGAGATTGCAAGTTACATGATAAAATACATAGCACCATCCATGGAGTTGGTGATTTTCTTTTTCACCCAGGGTTATAGACATTGATGAGAAACATGCAGTCCGCACCAGTAAGAAAGAAACCAAAGGAAAGAATTCTCAGTTGGACCCTGCTGGCAGTTTCTGAATAGTGAAGTGGAAAAGTTGGATCTCTGTGTTTAGTGTGGCTCTGAGGTCTAGAAAGTGGGATTACAACATCCATTTTGTCTAATTGCTTTTACTTCTCTTCTTTATCTGGCTGCTACAGCCCCATGACCTTCACTAGTTAACTGCTTCACCAGAGTGAAAGGATTCCCTTGATGTCCATAGGATTACTTGTTTTGAACTGACCTTTAAAAAGATGTCACTGACTAGGTTTTTCAATGCATCATTGAGGTCACTGGACAGTGTTCTTTAATCAGTGTTGGTGGCATTTGCTGTTTGTGGTAGAGGCTTTCTTTTCATTGCTGTAATCAATTAACGCATTTCTTTGATAGTACATGGGGTGGAATATAATTGGCCTTTGTTCAGAAAAGCATGTGCCAGGAATCCTCCATTAGTATATTTATTAAGCAGCTCACAGGTTCTCAGATAATGAGTAAGAAACACATTCTTTTCAACAAAGGTGTGTGGGCTTGTCAGTTTCACAGGGTGGGCTAGTGTCAACAGGGGGATAATCTTCAAACCAAACTGGTTTTGAGAAACCGGGGGAAGCTCATCATACACCATAAATGGGAAATCAGTGCTTGCTTTGGGTGTAAGCTTCTTTTAGGAGCCACCCACCACCACCTCCCCCTGCAGCCGACTGAGAGGCTGTTGATAAAATGCTACAGCTGAGGCCTACGAGAAGCTGTGGAGGAGTGTGGATCAGCTTCTTTGGGCAAAAGCAAAGTCTGGCAGAGCCACTCCTTATTGGTTAATTTTAGTATCAAAAATTTTGGAGGTCGGAATTAAAAACCACCTCCTAGAATGTCAGAGTTGGCGGACCATGCATATTATTTAGGGGCTAAATTTAACAGGGGGGCTGAGAACTACAAAAGTTTAAAACAAGTACAGTTTAAGGCAAGGTTTCTCAACCTTGGTTCTACTGACAGCCAAGCAATTCTTTGTTGTGGGGGCTTGTTCTGTCCATTCAACAACGTTTAGCAGCATCTCTGGTTACTGCCCACTAGATGCCAGTGACAACCCCATCCTCATACACACACACACACACACACACACACACCCCCCCGCCAGATTTTGCCCATGTGCCCTGGGGGCAAACTTGCCCTGGATTGAGAACTGCTGCTGGTTTAGGGCAACCTTTCATTAATTGCTGAAGTCAGGCAAGTACTAGCAGCCCACAACCCCTGCTAGCTGTAGAATGACCTAGGGAATGCAGCACAGAGAATGGTGTTAAATTAGAAAGCTGAGACAGCACACTCATAAACGTGAATACAAGCTTAGGAAGGTGAGTGTTGGGTCTGGCAGGCCCTCTGAGAAAACTAGCTAGTTTTTCTGACCTGGATGAGATACTAACTCAACAGTCGCAGAACCAGCTGACTGTTCATAAACATGATTCCTTGGGGACAGGTGGATCGGTCATTTTGCAAACGATCCTTTTTTTTTTTTTTAAATATTTAGTTTGGGGAGAGCACAAATTGGGGAGGGGCGGAGAGAGAGGGGGACAGAGGATCCCGAAACAAACTCTGTGCCGACAGGCTGAGCCCCATGTGGGGTTCGAACTCACGAAATGTGAGATCATGACCTGAGCCCATTTCAGACTTGCAACCCCACTGAGCCACCCAGGTGCCCCTGCAAATGATCCTTATGGCCTCCACCATCTTTGCTATCCCCCTTTCCTCTTACAGTCAGGTTTGGCACTTCCTCACCAAAAGTGATCCCAAGCCTAACTGCAATGCTATGTCCACCATCACCCTGATTTTGGCTTTTGTCCTCACGGTCTCTTCTATCGGATTGCGCCAGATGATAATGTGTGCCCTGTTGAGAGCTAGTACTCTGTGCGAAGCATTGTGCTCACTACTTGACCTTCATTTTTTCATTAACCCTCACAGCACATCACAAAGTACTTGTGTGTGTTGTTGGCTCCAGTTTACAAGTGAAGAAACTGAGGTTTACAGAGATTCTGTAAGTTATCAAAACAGCAGTCAAGAATATAGACAGAAGGATTCCACAACCCTCACACTTAACCTCTGTGACAACTATGTGGTTTACTGCATAACTCTTAACTCGGGAGTTACTACCTTACAAATGATGTAGAAAATCACTCCATGCCTTCAACATGACTCACCTGCCTCTTCCCTCCGTCAACCCTCAGCTTCCCCTAGGCTTTAGATGATTTGTGTGTTCGGCATTAAAGAAGGCAAAAAAGTCAAGATTTTTTGCTTTTTTTTGGCAGCAGCTTCCCTAGGCTTAACTACTTACATTCTACTAGCTGAAATAGTTCCATACATACAATTTGATTAATAAACCTTTTTTTTAAACCAACCAGAAGTACTACCAGAGAGTAGTAAGCTGTATTAGTCACAGGTGAACAGGTGTGACGCATCTCAAGCAGATTGCTTGCCTCCTAACATAGCCAATGTCAGCCCTTCTAGGGCCTGGGGCGTTTCATTTGGCCTTGGGCAGGAAGAAGAATAGGTAATTTTTTATCCTAGAGACTTGAAAATTTGGCTAAGTCAAGATGAGCTACCACAGTGGGGGGTATTGGCTAGAGAACAGGGGGAGTTGTGAAAAAGCTTCTTACAAATTTGTGCAAGACTCTGGTGCTGCACAGTGGTGAGCCCTCCTTTCCTGTCCCTTCAGATGGGACTAGTTTGTACAGCACCACGTATATTCCCATGTATAACATTCATCACACTTGGAATGCCTTAATTTCCCCAATAGTTAATTAATTCGTAGCTTCTGTACGCTAAGAAGGTGCTGTCGTGGCACTGGGGTGACAGGGGTGAACCAGATGGGCAATGGTGCCCAGCTGAGTCCTCGTTCCACGGTGCAAAAAACCAAGTATCAATAAACAAATAAGTGACCGACACCATGATGGTATGTTGGAAGTTCTCTACAGCAGTGCTGATCAAAGTGTGGTCAGAGGCGTGGCATCACCTGGAAACCTGCTGAAACTACAGGATCTCAGGCTTCCTCCTGGATGTACTGAGTTAGAATCTGCATTTTAACAGTGTCCCCAAGTGGTATGTATGCACCTAAAGTTTGAGAAGCCCTGCTATAAACACTATGCAACAAGCTGTTGTGCTAGAGAGAAATTAGAGGAGCCCATTCCAAATAGGGAAGTCTGATGACAGGAGAAATGGGAGTTGTTTGAAGGGCGAGAATGAGCTGGCAATAGTCAGCGGAGAACATTCCAGGCAGAAGCGGCAGAAAGTACAGAGGTCCAGAGGAAGTCAAGCACTTGGTTTAAGTTAGAGCTTGCCTAGGACCTAAAACAGGGTGAGAAAGGGGAAGGATAGCATTGAGTAAGGGTAGAGAAGTGGGTAGAATCCAAACATCCAGGGCTGGCAGGCCACACAGCAGACTAAAGGGTTTCAAATGACCTGAGAGTGCCGGGTGGCATGGGTAGGTTTTGGTAGCAGAGGGGCACAGCTTGATCAATGTCCACCTCCCCACCCCCATTCTATTCTAGAGCAG